AGACCGTTATCTGAAATGAAATAAATCTGATAATAAATTTCAATCCCCTAAGGGTTATTTAAGTCTAGTAGATAAGCAATAGACATTATATTCTTAAGGATTAGATTTTTATTAACTTTGAAAAATTTTTATCTTACATTCTTTAATAGATTTACAGAAATTCAAAATTCATAAGAAAATGAAAAAGTTTTGAATTTCCCTCTTATATAATGCACACAAATATTAAGAATGGATATTTTAAACTACTTTGATTATTTTATTTAGAATTAATCAAATTTAATCTAGCAGAGTGACATTTATTCCAAAATGAGTTTGAATTTATTTTTGAATAACCATATGTTTGCAAATATAAAAATTAATGCAATTTAACTCAATGAAATACGCTAGAGGACTCATACTATATATATTGACATCATTGTGGATCTATTTATGAATGAGACTCAAATTAATATTTATAATAATTGATTTTCTCTTTTTAGAATCCTGTTAGATTGAGTTTAGCTATCTGATTATAACAACTTGTAAAATCATCTTTTTTAACCTTTATCTGAATTTCAACAAAAAATTTTTGATTTCATTCAGTTTTAACTGAAATGCATGCATTTTAAATCTAATTTTTTTTAATCGTCAAGTATTTTTTCTCGTGTTTATTGTCTTGCTATTACATTATATTTATTTTATTCTTTCTGAATTTGCCTCTTCTATTCATCTATTTGAGAGTCATAAATTTGAAATAGTAATCAAATAAATGCTTCTTGGTTTTTTCATAATCTTCCCAATAATTTAATAATTTAATTATCTTTATAAACTGGAATGCATAAACTAACATTGAAATTTCTAGATCAGTCTATTGAATAGAAATACTAATAAGAATATTAATCACCAAAAAGAAAAACTCATATTAAAATACTCTTGTTATTTTTTTTTGTGCTCTAGTTTATCAAATTAACTATTGCGTTAATAAATAAAAATTATGCTGTAGTTTACCCTTTACTAGGAATGATAGCTTTTACTACTTTTTCGAAATTCTTTAATTTTAATAAAGAATATCACTAACGAGCACTAATCACATACATCAATATTTGTTTTTCAATTTATGTGATTTTCTTTGATCCACATTTAGATGCTTCAACTATGTATTCTAAAGGAGCACATTAAATGGCCGTCAACATTATCAATATATTAGGAATAGAATTTGTGGATTCAACAATAACTATTTTTTTATTGTTCTCTCTTAGATTATTTCATCTTATCTAAAATAGTTCTATAATTGATATTACTGCTGTTTTAATGGGTTTTGGAGCAAATTTATCCTTGGTTATTTTTGTATATTTATATCATAAAGCAATAAGATCATAATTCCTCTTAACGAAAATCGATTAAAGATGGGAAAATATACTAAAACAAATAATTCATAACTAAAAATATATCTTAATCAATTATCAAATTGAAAGATTATAATTTTAAAGTGTTATTTCCACTTTTTCATAATCTATTTAATCATAAGATGATGTCAGGAAATTTTTAAGGGAAGCCAAAGTAGATAACATTTCTTTAGAACAATATTTATTTCATAAATTATAAGATTTCTCTTAAAAATATTTGGAAATTGTGAAACATTCAATAAATGTTAAGTTTGATAAATAATTAATATCTCTGGATTTTTCAATTTTTTTTGGAAATTAACCAACTATTCTAATTTAGAATAATTAATAACAGGTATAATTTCAAAATTAGGAAGTCTAATAACTTTGCCTTTTGTATTTAAAATTGTTAACTGTTTTTATTAAAATTATTAAACGAAAAATACCTTTTGATTATAATTAATTCCATAACTTAGCTAATAAGGTTTAAATTTAAGAAATAATCACATCAATATGGAGTTAATAAATCATATTAAAAATAATCAGCCTTTAAAAATCTTTATTAAAAATTTCAACATTTTGTAATCCAAAGGCTACGATTTAATTTGTTGGTTCAGACTTATTCATAAAAACTATTCCAAAAATATTTTCTTTATTATTAGCTTGTATAGTTGATAGTTCCACAAGTGAATTAATCATAATTAAAGGTTAGACTATTCAAAAGGATTTGAAGCTAATTAACATATAAGGAAAATTCAATATCCAAAAATTAAATGGATATACGAGAAAAATTAAGAACTACTTACTTCTCATATGCAAAGAAATCAAAGCATAATAATTCTGTATAGTTTTTAGTTATTTTATTTAAGGTATTAATCTTGAGTTCAATGATGAAATTTATTAACCATTTAATAATATTATAATGCCTTAATTGAATTTTAATTATTCAAAGAAGAAGTTCCCTTAATGAATCAACATAATCAATTTATATTTTATTTATCTTTGATAATGATTATCATTTATATTGTGATAATTATAATTTATTATTGTTATAAAGATTTATTAAATCATTCGATTTTAAGAAACTTCTTCAAATTTATGCATTGTTTGTAATTCATTATTTTCTTTAGTGCTTTTCTTTTAACACTCTTCCTAAGCTCTCTTCTAATCACCACAAAAATCAGAGCAGATTTTTTATCTTTAATTGATTAAAATGACATAATTAATTCATATCTGCATCAGACTAGTCAATGAAATTATTTATTCTATAATTTATCCAAATTGAAGTTATGAGCATATCATTTTTTCATAAAATCATTTCAATCAAGCATTTAAACTATAGATAATTCTTAAATTGGATTGTCTTAAAATAATAGAATTTTTTTTGTCTAATAGAGAAATCTTATTAATATCATTTTAATTTGCCTTCTCGACTTTATCAATTAAGATAGATAGGATGAAATAATCAAAGAAAAAAGATACCTTGTATAAATAGTTTCTCTGAATACTTAGAAGCATTTAAAATAATTAAGCATAAATAATTTTTAGGGCAGAATGTAATTGTAAATTAAACAATCTATATAAAAAAATTAAAAAAATGAACTAGTTTATCTTAATATTTGGTAAATCTGATTTGCAATTTTTCTAAATATCTAACATGAATTTCATTCCTTGATTTGATATTACTTTTTCTTGCTTCTTGTATTTTATTTAGTATGATAAACTACATGAACTAATTATATCACTCAATATACTATTTTTCTAAATCTACCAATCAACATTATCTTTTTCTCAAAATAATTAATTTTTCAATGCAATAAATTTATAACAATTAATTGACATGATGTAAAATTATTCAATTGAATATGAAAATTAAAGAAAAAATTTAAAACAAAAATAATTAATTAATTCATATATATTCTTAAATTCATAAACATTTTCTATATATTTATCAAAAAGTCATTAAATTTGTTTGATAGACTTAATTTCAAAGTTGTTTATTTGTAATAACTTACTCTAAAATTTTTGCAATTTGTTTTTAGTTATACTACTCCTTATTCAATTCAAATTACATTTCTTGGCAGTATTTCATGAATTCACAGATATGATATCCACATGAATAGCTATCCACTTATTAACCAGAATACTAACTCAACTCAATTTACAATAATTAAATTTGTAGTATTTA